AAAACCGTTGAATAGGTCTAGTCGAGATATTTAAAATGGTAATATGAGAAATCCATCACTAGAGGTGGCGGTAGAAGGCGGTGACTGTCAATTTTATCTGTTTTTTAAACGTTTGGATAAAAAACCATTAATTTGAAAAACTTTGGAGATAAAAACATATTTATTTTGAATTTCGAGTACCTTAAGCGAAATAACATCGGTATATTTGGGATACTGAAATCCCCACTGTATATTAATTCAAAACGTGTTGAGCCTAATTGGCAGACTCGCATGCTTCGGGATCCTATGTGACAAAATTATATGCTTCATTATTAGGCTTGGGTAGATTTTAATTTACTTCCACTCAAAAAATAATTATGTCCGGATTATACATAAATATATTGATTATTTATGGTCATGTTACATGTATTAATTGTATTTTAATATCATTTGTTTTTATAACCATTGAATTGTAAATGTATTATTTTTTTATCAGTGTTACGTATATATAATATCAAATTAATCATCTCTTGATGAACTTCAATTTAACATCCATATTGTATATATAGAAAAAATAAATTATACTTACCTTTATAACAAAAATAATTTTATTAATATTAATTACAAAAATAAAATTATTTACCAATTACTATAACTCCTTTCAGTCGAGTGACTTTCCTTTATGACTAGAAGAAGTTGAAAGTTTTTCTTTGGTCTTTCCTACATGACGATCTGATCCCTCCTAATCGACTGTTCCATGGCCCATTATCCTGTATGAAAAATTGGTTTTGTACCGATTAAATGATTCTATTTTTCGTAAGTAAAAGACTTAAGAAATTCTCAAAACCTTTTTAAGAAAAATGAGAAATTAATTCTAAGTGTTATATGTTAATTAATTGAGTTTAAATGACTCAAAGATTGTAGGGTTCACAAACATTCTGTTTTGACAAATGTTTGGACAAACTAAACGAGCCATAATTATGCATTATGTATGCTAGAATCGTAGAAGGACTCGTTGAGGACAAGTAGGAAAAACAGAACTCGATTCCGAGTCCGTATGAGCTCGTACGAGCCCGCGGCGCATGGGTGCGCAACTGGCTGCGGAAATCAAAGGGTCGCAACCCTTGGTGACCATAAGGTATCTTTTAGCCACTAGATGCATCCGTTCTCGTTCGGGCACGTCCCAAAAGGTGTCTTTTGACACTTAAACCTCTTGGAGGTGTTTCTCGACATCTATAAATACCCACAAACATGAAGTCATTTAGACATCAAATTTCCAAGAGTCTTTGCATCCTTTTTACAAAGTTCATATTAATCTTGTGTTCTTTGTGTTCTTTCTTATCTTGAGAGTTCTGAAACTTAAGTAGTGTTCGCCGAAGGTTTGTGTATTTGAGTTACTGCTATGCAAAAATCGAAGTCGTTGTATCTTGGAGGCGTTAGACGTGAACCGTGGGTAATATACGGGGCTATTTCATCTTAAGGAGAGCGTACCTTACGTGCCTCGACTTTATTCGTTTTTTGTCATTTTCCTTCTGATTTCTTAAGCCATTTTCTTGAGATCCACATAACACATATTCAACAATCTTAAGACGAAATATTTTGAGTTCATAAGATGGCAACCGGAGGAAACAAACGTCCTCTTCAAGTGCTCAACCGATGGTAGCTGCTCCCGTCTAAGGCGAGACACCGCCGAAGTTCAATGGATCTGATTTCAAGATGTGGCAACAAAAGATGCTTTTCTACCTCACAACTCTCTCCCTCTCTCGTTTTCTTTCGGAGGACCCTTTGATCGTCCCCGAAGGTGAGACCGACGAGCAAAAGCATACGGCCTCGGATGCGTGGCATCACAATGATTTCTTGTGTAGAAATTATATCCTTAACGGATTAGACGACTCTCTATACAATGTCTATAGTCCGATTAAGACAGAAAAGGAGTTACGGAATTCCTTAGAGATAAAATACAAGACAGAAGATGTCGGGATTAAGAAATTTCTCGTCAGCAAATTCCTAAAGTACTTAATGGTGGACACCAAGTCGGTGGTTAGCCAAGTCCAAGAGATTCAAATCATCTTTCACGATTTGTTGGCCGAAGTATTGATTGTGAAAGAAGCCTTCCAAGGTGCGGCTATTGTTGAAAAGTTACCACCACTTTGGAAGGACTTCAAAAACTATCTCATGCATAAACGCTAAGAGATGACATTGGAGGACTTAATTGTTCGACTTCGGATTGAAGAAGATAACCGAAAGTCTGAAGTAAGGGCCAACCGAAGCGACTACGAGGCTAAGGCGAACTTGGGCGAGTCAAACTCCAATAAGAAACGCAAGAGAACTTCAAATGAAAAGCAACCACAAACGAGCACCAAGAACTTCAAAGGGAATTTCTACAATTGTGGTAAATCCGGGCATCTTGCGAAAGATTGCCGTCTCCCGAAGAAGGGTAAAGATAGCGCGCTTATAGCCGAGGATAAATATGTTCCCATTGACTTATCTGAGCTCGATCTTACCGTCGTGGTCCAAGAAGTTAACTTGGTTAATAATCCATGGGAATGGTGGGTCGATACGGGAGCAACTCGGCATATTTGTGCGGATAGAGATATGTTCTCCTCTTATACTCCTACCGACGGAAGGAAGCTGTTGATGGGCAACTCTTATACATCAAACGTCGTGGAACGGGAAAAATGGTGTTGAAAATGACATCGGAACTGCTGCATGTCCCGGACATCCGTAAGAACCTTGTATCCGGTGCTCTTTTGAGCAAAGCCAGTTTTAGATTAGTCTTTGAGGCCGATAAATTTGTAATGACTAAGAATGGTGTCTTCTTAGCGAAAGGGTACCTAGATGAGGGCCT